AATGTAATTAATGATGCCCTGTAGACATTTACAAGTGGTTCAATGGTTACTCGAATGCGTCAATCCGAATACATCAATCCAAAGCAAAACATGTATTTTTTTTAAATATATAAAACTCACCTCTCCGGAGGGCTTCCTATCCACTACCATTTTAATGACCTCTTAAAAAGACCCTTAAGATTGGCGCATGACATTTGTTGCATATGCACATTGCAGCCCATGCGTACCTACATAGCAGCATTGCAATTACTGTATGTCAGTGTCACCGTGTGTCTTCTTGTTACGAGCGTGTGAATTGCGAATGCTTCTGAATTTAAATGCATCCGCAAATGCAGAATTTGTCTGTGCATTGCATGCTTGCATTCAGCGTTCGCGCCATGCTGCAAACTGCAATGTTAGCTTTGCAGTGCATGGATGAATGTTAATATAGACCGTATCTATACACAATGCAGTCCAATGCATGACATTTGTATCACGTCATCGATTAGTGATCAGCTGATGGCATTGACTTGGAAGGAAACACCGTGATGTATTGCTGTCTCCTGTGCAATTTCCCATCTATTTCCAACGAACTGACCTCTATGTTAAGATTCCATGTGGCTAATTTGTAAAGCCACGCATTAATGCTGGTCATCATCAGCAGCCAAGATCAATGCACTGCTGGATGGAAGAAGACCACAAAGCCATCGGTATCTCTCACGATCGAACAATGTCATTATTTGCCTATCACCGGCACACGAGCTGAGATGGCTGCTTTAAAAAAAATGTATACTGTAGTAAAATATATATATAACCTAAAATACTGAGGGCATTTATAATTGGCATAACAACGTGATGCGTTTGTCCTTATTGTTGAAATCATGAAGGGTAACATGAATAGAATATATGCTCAAGTAAGCTAGAGCCATCCTACTGAAGCATATACAGTGAGGGAAAAAAGTATTTGATCCCCTGCTGATTTTGTACGTTTGCCCACTGACAAAGAAATGATCAGTCTATAATGTTAATGGTAGGTTTGTTTGAACAGTGAGAGACAGAATAACAACAAAAAAATCCAGAAAAACGCATGTCTAAAATGTTAAAAATTAATTTGCATTTTAATGAGCGAAATAAATTTTTGACCCCCTTTCAATCAAAAAGATTTCTGGCTCCCAGGTGTCTTTTATACAGGTAACGAGCTGAGATTAGGAGCACACTCTTAAAGGGAGTGCTCCTAATCTCAGCTGGTTACCTGTATAAAAGACACCTGTCCACAGAAGCAATCAATCAATCAGATTCCAAACTCTCCACCATGGCCAAGACCAAAGAGCTCTCCAAGGATGTCAGGGACAAGATTGTAGACCTACACAAGGCTGGAATGGGCTACAAGACCATTGCCAAGCAGCTTGGTGAGAAGGTGACAACAGTTGGTGCGATTATTCGCAAATGGAAGATACACAAAAGAACTGTCAATCTCCCTCGGCCTGGGGCTCCATGCAAGATCTCACCTCGTGGAGTTGCAATGATCATGAGAACGGTGAGGAATCAGCCCAGAACTACACGGGAGGATCTTGTCAATGAGCTCAAGGCAGCTGGGACCATAGTCACCAAGAAAACAATTGGTAACACACTATGCCGTGAAGGACCGAAATCCTGCAGCGCCCGCAAGATCCCCCTGCTCAAGAAAGCACATACATGCCCGTCTGAAGTTTGCCAATGAACATCTGAATGATTCAGAGGACAACTGGGTGAAAGTGTTGTGGTCAGATGAGACCAAAATGGAGCTCTTTGGCATCAACTCAACTCGCCGTGTTTGGAGGAGGAGGAATGCTGCCTATGACCCCAAGAACACCATCCCCACCGTCAAACATGGAGGTGGAAACATTATGCTTTGGGCGTGTTTTTTCTGCTAATGGGACAGGACAGCTTCACCGCATCAAAGGGACGATGGACGGGGCCATGTACCGTCAAATCTTGGGTGAGAACCTCCTTCCCTCAGCCAGGGCATTGAAAATGGGTCATGGATGGGTATTCCAGCATGACAATGACCCAAAACACACGGCCAAGGCAACAAAGGAGTGACTCAAGAAGAAGCACATTAAGGTCCTGGAGTGGCCTAGCCAGTCTCCAGACCTTAATCCCATAGAAAATCTGTGGAGGGAGCTGAAGGTTCGAGTTGCCAAACGTCAGCCTCGAAACCTTAATGACTTGGAGAAGATCTGCAAAGAGGAGTGGGACAAAATCCCTCCTGAGATGTGTGCAAACCTGGTAGCCAACTACAAGAAACGTCTGACCTCTGTGATTGCCAACAAGGGTTTTTCCACCAAGTCCTAAGTCATGTTTTGCAGAGGGGTCAAATACTTATTTCCCTCATTAACATGCAAATCAATTTATAAAATTTTTGACATGCGTTTTTCCGTATTTTTTTATTGTTTTATCTGTCTCTCACTGTTCAAATAAACCTTCCATTAAAATTATAGACTGATCATTTCTTTGTCCGTGGGCAAACGTACAAAATCAGCAGGGGATCAAATACTTTTTCCCCTCACTGCAGTTACACACGTGTTGCGCACACGTTGGCTGGCAACAGGGCACGATGTTGTCCTCTGGTATCGCTGTTTAAGCGAGCTGCCGCTCGCAGTCGGCAGTGTTAGCGAGCACCCAATAAGGTGGCCCAAAGGACGACTCCGCGAGACGGTGTGCGTTGTTGCCGGCACGTAGCAAAACGCCACGGTAATGTCTCTCGCCGCCTTGGGTCTACCCACCGGCCTGAGAGAACGCAATAGCGTCAGCGGTAGAGGTGGACGAGTGCCTGAGTGGGATTCGGACTCGACTCTGGAGGAGGGGGCCGCGGGGCTTGTATTGTGGAAGCGTTGGCTGCGAGCGCTATGCCACTGCGTTCGAATTGCACGCACGACGCATGTAACACACATTCATCACATGCACAGTCGTGCAACAGCGAGGCGTTGGTCCTTCTTCGTAGTACAAGAAGGGCCATTGGCCCCGAAACGTTGCCTTTCGTACATATTTATTTCCTCTTAAGAAGAATGTGTTTGAGGTGTTTATGTCGTTGGTACTACCCGTGCGCGTGCACCACGGCCAATGCAGCACGGCCAGCGAACGATGTGTTTAGTGTGTACATGTTACGACATTCGTAAATTGTGAGGACATGTTGGAGCCAATGGTACAGCGGCCATGTCGAGGCAGAGCAACGGCAAGCCTCTCCGTGCAGCCGAAATGACAATGCACATGCATGGTTTATGCAGGAAAAACAATAAAAAATGACATAATGTACACACACACATATATAATGAGCTACTAGACAGCAAATCAACAAACAACTCAGGACGTCCGTCAATAGCACTGCCTTAGCGTGGAAATATGTAACACATTTGAATAGATGAACGGATACACGGCATTCACTCATATATGTGCAGGTACTGTGTTCTCTGACCGAGTCACGCATCTCTCCAAATATGTGCACTGAGACATTCGATATCAACATATGGAATGCTAGGTAGGCACGTTGAGACACAACGATGCATCGTCATACAGCATGTGCACGTGCCGTTACTTATGTACATGGCTCACATGCACAACACAGATGCGCTTTAATTGGATTTAATTACGCGCCCTGACCCTTGTATAGAAGAGGAATCGCAAACCTGACATTATATGCAAAGGCATTCCAGCAAGAGCAGGGATGATCTCTGTAGACAATCACACGCGCTCTGAAATTAGATGCACGTGCATTAATTCATATACGCCTCCTGCGTCTGCCTCAACACTGAACAATGCAGGCAGGCGCTGGCCGACACAATCTGCAGACGCCACGGCACAATGCATGTGCACTTCCAGTGGTGGTCATTTTGGACAACGTAAAACGTGTCCCCGTCATGCGGAATTTTCCACAACAACAACAAAAAACAGGGTGCGAGGCACGATGTTCAACGTGGAGACGAGCATGGATCGCGATGCTCATTTGATCTCTCTGACCCGTTTTAAAATACACGATGCCAGGATGAGATATAACGCACAGCGTATAGCGTGTGACCTGTTGATGATTTTTTTTCTTTTCCCCCAGACAGAGCCACGTGCAAGCGCTACACGCAATGCACCTGTACGAGTTGATATGCTACAACGAGCGAGGCGCGAGGCTGCTTGTACAGATATTGCAGTGTCACGTCTCCCTGTGCCCATATCCCGCTAATAGAGCGCCTAATGGTAGATACAGACACCCCCACACATTATCATCATCATCATGGCCACGGTGATCTCCGCCACGAGAATGTCGCGTTTACAGCACTTCAAACAAAAACAAGATTCCAACGCAGAAATGCAAAAGGAAATCCAATGGACGGTTGCGGCAAGTGCCAGTTGCGAGGACATATTAAGAGTGAGATTTCAAACTAGAGGGTTACGAGGTGTAGGCAGTCCCACTCCCGGTCGCCTTTGTCTCTCCAGTGCTGATGTTCACACGACACAATGGGAACTTTTTAAAGGCTGAGCAGACCTAGGGGAGACCCGGAATAATATCAGACACCACTTGCTATTGATGGCAGCCCGTGAAAGGGAATCGAACTTAGGTTGCCACTAAAAGATAAATACAGATATTCCCCATATAGCCTTTTAACAGACTGTTAGGGCAAGTGCTGTTTGCGAGCACCTATGAAGGCCGGAACGGCACACGAGGGGGTGGGTGGCCAACACCGCGCCCGGCCGCCTTTGTCTCCCGAGTAGTGGTGTTTACACGCACCACACCAGGTACTCATTTGAGGCTGACTTGACTTAGGTGGAGGCCCCGGACCGGTTCAGTTCATCGTCACCGGTGTTGGTGGCCGTGAGCAGGGAATCGTGCTCAGATTCCCCGGGTTCGTAGCGCAGCGCGCTGACCGCTTACACCCCCCCCCCCCCCCCCCCCCCCCCGTGCCCGCAACTCACGCGCAGACACAGAACACAAATGCAAGCACACACATCATCGTGAGCTCCCCCCTCCTCCCCAACACCCCCACGCGTCTTACCCTGGCCGCTCTGGAAGAATAAGGATCCTCAAAGAGCGCCCACATCCTGGGCTGCCACCGACGCAGGAAGCCGAGCTTCCCGCCGTCGGGGCTGCGCTCGTCCAGCCCGAACCTCTTGGAGACCTCGCCGTCCTCGTTGACCTCGTCGTTGCCGTTGATGTCCGGGTTCTCGAAGCTCACGAGGGCCTCCTCGGCGTCACGGTGCTGCCGGTAGTTCATCCAGCAGCACGGCTCCACGTCCGTCTCGTCGATGCCCCAGAAGATGAGCTCCTCCTCGAACAAGGGACCGCACACCTCGGACGGGCAATGCAGCTTGCCCGTGCGGTAGTAGTTGAGGATGTGCGCGAACACCGTGGGGTGCCGGTCGAAGAAGAACTCGTTGCCCTTCGCGTCGTAGTCGAAGTTGGCGAACGCGTCCGGCTCCGTGAGCCACGAGAGTCGCGTGCCGGGCAGCGTGCGCAGCGTGCCGCGGTACGTCTCGTGGCGAGTGCCTCCCACGTTGATGACCACGCGCTCGTTCTCGTCGCTCCTGCCCAGGTCGCCATCCAGGCACGACTTGCAGGGGGACTTGTTCCCCGACTTGTGGCCGCAGTATGGAGAGATGCAAACCGAGGTGAACATTCGTGCTGGCCGATACGACCGTGGGCCAAGGGGAACCCCACCGGGGGCCAGGTGGCATGCACAGCATGCACGCGAGCGTGGTCCGTGAGACTTGGACCGTGATGTCTGTGTCTGTCTTGTGTGTGTGTCTTGTCTCGTTGGTTTCGCTGGGTGGGTGTGTGTGTGGCGCTCTTGTACCCTTACACCCCCCCCCCCCCCTATGACTCGCCCGAGCTCTCCTCTATCAATATCCTCTATATATCTCAACGTTTCCGCCCGCCCTCTCCCACTGAGGATCGCTTGCTCTCCCCACCAGAGGAAGCTGTCACATGTCTAGAGATGGAGAAATGTGGATGTGACTCAAGGCGACTTGAGCTTAATTCCCAAGTGAGATTATGATTATTATTACGACCTGGTTATCAAGCGATTGTTCATTCAACTCAATTTCAAGGTTCCTCTTTTGTAATATTTCCGCTGCAATTATGTTTTTGTTACCGAAGCGTCCTTTGTAAAATATAATTCAAAACGTTATGAATTTCACTTCATATACTTAACCGAATAATCCGAGATTGCTTAAACGCAATACGCCTACTATCAAAACGCTATTTATAACCTAGGAACGAGCAAAGTAATTATATATATTAGAATAGAGAAGAGTTAACGTACATTATGAAACATAATCGCAACACGTGTCTCCTTGCCCACCACCAGCGCCAGCCACCCAGTGTCCGGCGCCTCGTCTCGCTCCTGTCGGCTCCTCGACACGCGCATGCATTGGTGCACCCTCACGTCCCAGGCACGCGCGCGAAGGAGGAAGTGCACGGAACGGGGGAGGATCTCTGGAATCGAGAAGGAATTAGGTTGAGGGAGGGGGGGGAGATGGAGATGGGGCAAATTCAAATATCCTAAACACGAGGAGGGTGTGTTTAAGGGGGGGGGGGGGGGTGGCAGACGGAGTGCAGGCGGTCAGCCCGAGTCAGAGACGGAGCGACTCGGTGAAGAAGCAGCAGCAACAGATGCCCCGGGTAGATGCGGTCCCGACAGCAGCGGCTGCAAAGCGAAATGAGCCACCGCCTCCGTGAATCATGGGGGCAATGTGCCGAGGGAGGGTGGGGAGCCTAGATGGAGGGGGTGGAGGGGGCAGATGCAAGCAGGCAAGGAGGAGGAGGGGGTTGGGCGCATGGGAGCGAGCGAACGCAGCGAGCGAGCGAGCGAGAGAGAGGAGCGCCTGCTAATGGCAGTATTTATAATAGCGGCTGCCGCGGAAATGTTCCAGTCTCCACGTGTCACACGCGCATCATCTAACGGACGATTGGGCGCAGCCGATGAGAAAGATTGAAGGTGGAAGAGAGAGAGAGAGACAGTGGAGATGAACGATATTGGTATAGCGATAAGAGCGTGCAGGTTGCGAGAGGGGATGAGAGTGGGGATAGCGGAGATGGGAGGATGAGAGTGAAAGTTGGAGACGGGAGAGAGTAAAATGGGAGATAGTGGAGGTGACGGAAAGAATAGAGATGAGAAAGAGGGAGATGATGAAGAGAAAGATGGGAGATATGAGATAGAGTGGAGGTGGGAGAAATAGGAGAGATGGAAATGAGAGAGAGCGAGAGGACAGTGACGTTGGGAGAAAGGTGAGAAGTAGATCGGAGAGAGAAAGGGAGGTGAGAGAGGGCTATGGGATAGACAATGTGAGAGGTGTTTCGGCTTTTGTTGGCAGCGTCTCTCACCTGCTGCACGTGGAAGGCACAAGAAGACAACGGTGAATCGCACTTGAAAAATGTTTCCTCGTATACAATTGAGTATGATCTCACTTCCACCGGCACGAACCACGCATCCATATTATTTACGATTATCTAGATACGACCTCTGACCTCAGTAAAACATATATCGTGACTTGACCCCCAACTATTTTTTTTAATTAACGCCACCACGAGAGGGCGGCAGTGGCCGGCTGGTTGTAAGCCCAGCCTGAGGTCACATGGGCTACACCAGGGGTCAGCAGCCTGCACCTCCGAAGCCGCTTGCGGGGCTCTTCATGGACTGCTTACTGACGTTACTCACGAAGGACCACCGTCTTGTATTCATATGCATTGTCTATCTCTTGAAATATAGAGTTCCTAAAACTAAATTCGAACAAAAATTGTCTCCTCTTGTTTTTTTTAGGCTGTGGTATACGCTACTTACATGTCCTGACATTTACGAATGTCTTAACGTTCACCCATTAAAGACATTAATTGGTGATGCTGCGTTGGCAATGCGGCACCAGCACGAATAACAGAAAAAAAGAACGCAACACATTCACCAATATCACTGTGGCTCCGAATAAGAATACAACTTTTGTCAGCGTCTACTCAACCTCATCATAATCATCATCTTCATCAGTCCCACCTCTTGGTGGGATGTCACCAGTCATATCGCATGGATGGGCTGGTCACCGCCAGGGAAATGTGGAATTTCCATCACTGTTTCGGACGCCAACAGACAGGAGAGAAGACACATTGGATTGGACGAGACCTGCCTCGGTATGCCGACTATCTGCACACAAAGACAAATGTCCCCTGTATAGCCTGAACGGACTGTTGGGACAAGTGCCGTTAGCGAGCTATCACGGCCGGCACAGTACATACACGACGGGGTGGGTAGCCAGCACCACACTCGACCGCCTTTGTCTCCCCAGTGGGGCCTGTTTACACAGCACCACGTACTTATTTGAGGCCGAGTCAACCTAGGGGAGGACCAGGACCGGTGCAGATAATCGTCACTGGTGTTGGCCGTGAGCGGGAATCGAACCCGGTGTCGCCGGGTTTATAGTGCAGCGCGCTAACCGCTACAGTACTGCTCCCCCCCACACACACAGAAACACACAACAACAACAACAACCGCCATTCACCACTAAGTGGCGGTGACGTCACCACGACGCTTGTGCCAGGCCATGTGCACCTTGAGGCCACGTGAACTGTCGAACGCCCGCTGGCAGGAGGTCACGGGGCAGACCCAGGTGCCACGGGTCGACTGACTGAGATGACTGGCTGATGCACCACCTGTGCCTCCTACTCTGCCAACCTGCTGTGCTTTAGCCACCCGGCGCTCCGCTCGTTGTTGTGAGCGTCGCTCCTCCGCCCTCCGTTGTTGTTGGAGGGCGACTGCCTCCAACTGCCCAGTAGCGTCCTTCACGAGCCTCCTCCTCAGAGTCCGATCTTGACACCGCTGGTACCAGTCATCGGCAAGTCCACTCAGCTCCACGTCCTCCTGTACCACATCACTCCATCTCTTCTCTAGCCCGTGCCGCGCCCGTTTAGCCCCCTCAATCCGGCCGAACAAAAGCTGTTTCGGCATGCGGTGGCTGGGTATGCGGGCTACATGACCCAGCCATCGCAGCCTTGCCCGCCGGAGGAGCTCACCGATGGGACCTTGCCCAGATCTTTCAAGGATTTGTGAGCTCACACAATCCAGTCTGGTTAAACCCAGGATGGATCGTAGGCAGGCCAGCCTAAATGTTTCTAACACACAGACACACACAGACACAGACATACACATACACACAGAAACACATAGACACACACACAGACACACACACACAACGCGATGGGCACTCAAGGTCAACGCGCTAAGGAGCCCCTGCAAGGTGACTGCGTGGCGCTTCGTCTGTGGCGCCACGCGGCCACCTTGAGAATGTTGAACGATTCTTCAGATCGGGGGTGAGGGGGGGGGAGAGATATAAACCTATAGATTCCTCCGGGGTCGATAAACGTGGTACCAAAGTGTGGGAAATCTTTTTTTCTTCATGAGAGAGAGCGTCCCGAGACACAATAACTTGGAATTAATTCCCTCCATTGGTTCGCGATCGCCATTGGAAATGGGCACCATCCCGCGCTTATGCAAGGTGCTTCAAAAACATGTTAACACTTACATGGAACTGTCGTTTGAATGGAGTACTATTTAAAAAAAAAATAAACACGCTTTTATGAAATGTACTAGTACCAGTAATGGCAAGATTTGAGGATACGACAACAACAACAACAACAACAGAGAGTGAGTTAAAAGAAAGCATGTAAAAAGAATGAACAATACACTGTAACATGATAACAAATGTAATGTTCAGAGCTTCAAAAAGTCAAAGAGTCTCCACTTGTTCGCCATCGTTGTCAACGCGTGGCCTGGCATCTTCTCCAGGTGATCTCCAGAGCCTGGAGGCAGCAGCGCATTTCTCGTGCTATTGTTGCAAATTATTGGAAGTGTTGACATTTTTTCGAAGCACCTTGCATAACTCCACTGTGTGATCGTGCAGTTCCATAATTGGATTTACGAAAAGCAACAGTCAACGTGTTCATATCAACTACAGCATCAAAAGGCGAAACCTGTCGTGACATAAGCCTTCCCGGTAAAGCTTACGAACGTTTAGAATTATTAACTTAGCATGTTATAAATTTACAGCACTACTTTTAGATCGATCACCATCTGTTATGTTTTACATTGGCATTCATGTATCAGGGTGTATATCGTCTTGTATGGCAAATGCATATCTATGGTATAAAGTTATTGGTTTGGTGCACTCAACAACAAAAATAAAATTCCGTAACAGGTTAATAAAATTCATAATACGTTTTTTTATTACTGGGGAAATATATCGACGATTCGGTCGATTGGACAATTTCAAAAACTATTAAATATTCCTTGGAAAATGTTATTAGCCTCTCAGTAACGGTAAACAAACGCAATAATTTTTAATTAACTTTTTCAATATCTATAATATACTTTATTGCACATACTGATGTATTATTTACGGTCTTGGTGTCATCATAATCAGCCGTGATATATCCATTGTTGGATAAAGGCTCCCCAATGTCGTGCCCACCGAATTGAAGCCGCTGGATTAATCTCGCAGTGCGCTAACCGCTGTGCCACCCCTCCTCCCAGTGCGAGAGCACGCGCCGACTCGGGGTTACTACGCTTTTCACGCCGCCTGCCGATCCCTTTCACCGCGAGACTCAATTCCCCACCCAATTTGTCTCTTCGTCTTCTTAAACGATAATAAAGTATGTAAGCTCGACGGTAAATGTGAGATTTTACGTAACAAACGAACTCCATTCTCCCGAACATCCATGCCGTGCTAACTCGTCGCCCTTCTTCAAGTCGAGGTTGACGTTAGTTTTTGTAAATATTCCTAACTGTGTCCGTGGAGCATATTTGAGACGCGGATGCATTTGGACGATGCATACAGCCAACTCGATTCAACTTCATTCGAAACGTATCGCCTAATCGCCACAATTGTTATATCGACAAACACTTCACGAGGCTGCAATACAATACATGAGAAGGAAGACTCTACGGTTTGCATTGCAAACGGGAGCCAACGGCAGTTGCAGCGGTTTCGCGAATTGCACATTCTGACCGACCCGAGTTCGAGTCCAGGCCACGGCTAACTTCAGGCTAATGTTGTATTTGAAACAACCCTCCGCTTCCCTCCGCTGACCAGCGTGCTGAAGGAAGCACGATCGAACAGTGGGCACGGTTGGCTACGTACGGCGCGAAAGAAGTTCAGCATACACACATCGAACAACCCCCCCGGTGACATGCACGGCGTGGGCAGAGCCTCGTCTAGCAGGGGATAGGCAGAGGGGGCTTTGTGCGTGGCGGTGGTGGTGGTGGTGATGATGGTGGTTGTTGTTGTTATTGCATTGAGCGCGAATGCCGTGGTTACGGGGATGAACGTCATCACTGCGGGGGGTATCGGCTGAAGGGTTTTGGTGATTCGTCTGCGGGTGAGCAACACGGGTGAGTCATCGGCATTCACGGCAACATCGGGGTGCGGAGGGCGCTTTGTATCCCGGCCTCCCGGCCCCCCCCCACCCCAAATCACATTCACCATCATCATCAGCCATGATCAATCCACTGCTGGATGAAGGGCTCCCCAAGCCGTCGCCATCTCTCTCACGATCTGCAATGTGATACTTTGCAATCGATCCTGCAAGGTCATGATCCACCCAGCACCTGCGCATGAGCGGATTTCCTCACTCCGTCTCTTCGGTGGACGAGTCCATCGCATTCCTTGGCTGCCACTCCGTCATTATACTTGTTTTAAAACAATTT